TGCATGGTTCTTATTACATATTTGTTGGGCTCTCAGGTGCACGGAAATGCCTTGCCGGGTGTTCATGTCAGATAGTCAGTGTGCAGACAGACGAAAGTTCAACTGCTCGAATCTGTTCCCGCATAAAATCTGCTGCACGAATCACAAACAATGCTGCTGGGAAGCTTTACCATCCGTTCGTACTCGTCCATCAGCTGATACATGTCCGGGCCCACCCTCCTTCCGCTGCATTATACCGCAACGCGGTCCTGCACCGTGTCCTGGGCCGTTGCCTCTGGGGGCAAGAGGGGCAGCTGCCCACCCGTAGATTTTGGAGCAATATAAAAAATAAGCTTAGGTAATAATTAATTAATTAATTTCAAGTAATCCGAAAATAAAATCTATTAAATAATGGAACAAAATTACAATTTACAAAAACAATTACAAAATACAAACACGCAATTATTCATTCAGCCCAACCCATGTGATTTATTTCTTGAAAATTTTTGCCCAGCTCCGTAGGAATATGCTCACGACTTAGCTGATATCACTCGGAATCAGAATCATGAAATCGCACCAGACTCAATGGCAATGAGATTAATTAATGAGGAGCATTCTTGTCACTCGCGCGGATTTCCTTTCCAGTTACGCGACGCCGGCACCGCCGAAATATCTGTCCACGGAACCACCGCCGGCTACAGACAGTTACTCTGCAGGGCATCGGCAGAGAGACGGCGCGTACGCCGGGTACGTGACCTTGAACCGTGGGGTCCCCAGCCTCGGTGCTCAGCTCATCAGCTACGACCACAGGTCAGTACCAGACGACGCCACCGGCCTCGACTACTACAACCGCCCGAGTCTCAAGTACGACCGCGGGCACCCGCGGCGTCGGTACGACCACGGTGGCGCTGCCACTCACCTACACGGCTATGCAGCGCATTTCGGTGTTTCGCGCCGTCCACAGTTTTCTACGAGACATGACCACACCATCTCAAAGCAAGTGCATGCCGATATAGATGGAGTGACCAGCCGATTGCTCAGGAACATAGTGAGCTACGCGTCGGGCAATAGGCACTGAATCAGATATATATATNGTGTGTGCGTTAGCGCGTGCGTGAGCGCGTGTGTGCGGCGTGTGTGCGTGAGCGCGTGTGTGCGGCGTGTGTGCGTGAGCGCGTGTGTGCGGCGTGTGTGCTTAAGCGCGTGTGTGCGGCGTGTGTGCGTGAGCGCGTGTGTGCGGCGTGTGTGCATGAGCGCGTGTGTGCGACGTGAGCGTCAATCACGCAAAGCGCGCAGCGAAAACTTAAAATGGATGTATAAATTAGTTTTTGAACGTTAGAATTAACAAGTCTTAGCTCATAAATTTTATTTTTTCTTTCTCACTCTTCTTTTTGGGGGAGGGCTTTTTGGTTTTGCCCCCCCCCACTTTTTGGATTGGAGGGGCGGCCGCTCCCCCTGCCTCCCCACTTCCGGCGCCTATGATTGTACATATATACAATGTATATATATTGTTCTCAGGTTGTTACTAGTTCGCACATTGGTTTATAGTTGGTGTTGTCTTCTCTCGCATGTCTCGCGAGAGCCATAGACTGGTGTTATATATGGTTTCCTGTCTCTTAACATTAGGCTACGAATTGGTGTAACAAAGTACAGTGTACCAGTCTACTGAACCTGCGGACTTCAGGCATGCAGACCACAGACTGTGCAGACGATCCATAAATGTTATTCAACTTATTGATTATAACAACTATACTAGTAATAGTATTACTACTCTCTAGAGACATAAGAGTTAGAATGAACCAACCCAATTTTATTTTCTTTGCTGGTAGTCCATTTTTGTATGAATTGTGTTGTGTGAAAGCTCGCACAGGTACAAGTGACGGTGAAAACGCGAGCGATTACGACTCCGAGTATTCATCATGTCAACCACGCGTTCCATCACCCCATCACCTCGCTCTGTCTCTGGATCTGGTTTCCAGAATCAAATGCATATACTTAAATGTCGGTAAGAATAATAACGTAATTTTTGTTATTATAATGCTGCATTGCCTATTAGTATTATACTTTCCACAGTCTCCTTCCAATCTGGTTTATCCAACTAGGCCTACTCGTGGAAATTGAAAGATTGTACTTTGTAGATCTACTTCACACTATTCCGTATTTGCTACACTGCCACTAGTACTAGTGCTCATAGGGTCTATGTCCCCCAGGGCACTGCCGGAACATAGACCTACCCTGGGTACGGTCCGGTATATACCGGAACGCTACCCTGCCCCATGCGATAACTATTCTGATATGGTTAGGGTTAGGGAGTAGGCGTAGGCGACTCCCTAGACTCGTTAGTGGAGTAGGCGAGGGTACGGGTCGGAATATTGAGATAGTACCAGGGTACGTTCCGGCTATACCGGACCGTACCCAGGGTATGTTCCAGCAGTACTACTACTAGTACTATAGTATTGGCTGTAATACTTACACAGACTACAGTGTATTGCAGTTTTTATGAAGCAGCTCCAGTTGGTCAACTTGTCCCACACAATTTCTTTTGAGTAAAGGTAATCTTTGCATCGCGGATGTCACATCTTGCAGCGCCGCCGCCGAAACCGACGCCTAGACGACCGAAGCGTAAGGAGAGTGCACTGACGGTCTCCTGGGACGAGATCAAGCCGACGTCGACGTCCAAGACCGAGGTGTTCCGCACCAACCAGGGGCCAGTGTCGATTCCGGAGGTCGAATCTCACGGTCACTTTGTGCTGCTGGAGAATGCCAGCTTTAAGCTGAAGAAGGACGTGTTCATGGACAGGTGGACGGTGGAGCGCTGGATCACGCCATCGCGCAAGCTGCTCTTTACATTCCTGGACAACTTCACGCTGAAGCACGAGAAGGAGTGCAAGGTGAGATGATCCGTAGTGGGAAACACACGTAGTACAATTGCTGAGCGCAAAATATGCGTGAACGCGCTTTGCTTTACGAGGAGAGAGAATCTTGCCTCGCTCTTTTCACTTATGCTGTAAATAATTATGGTTCGCTGTTATAAAATCTTCCGTCGTTTGAGATTGAGTCATGTTTGAAAAGTATCACAAGTTTAATGGATCTTGTGCACACGACTGACCATATGATGTTGTTAACGTACTTTAATTAACAAGATTTTATATTCAAGTTTTGTATTGTATAGATACCTATTAAAACGATGTAAATATATACCGTAGGTGTTTATGTTTGTACGTATAGTATATACTTACTTGCACACGTAAGCACGCACGCACGCACGCACGCACGCACACACACACACGGAGAGAGATACACGCGCACGCACGCACACACGCGCGCGCACGCACGCACGCACGCACGCACGCACGCACGCACACACACACACACACACACACACACACACACACACATTATACATTACCTATACCATATAGCAGTCCAGGAGTGCTGTCACTCACCCGCCCGAAATGGTACGTCGGATTACATTACTTTTTTATGCACCATGGACTTTTGTAGCAATATATAAACGCACTAAACCAGCTACCTAGAACATTGTATAATATCAGGAGTGAATAATATAGATCTCTATTATTCACTGATAATATGTTATAGATGCATGCTTAAGCTATGTATCTCCACGATTTCTAGCAGAGGCAACAGGCTCTCCACGTGTTGTATGCCATTATTTATTCTCAAATTGTCCAGTTGGTGTCTAATAGAGTACTAAGCTTCCTTTAATATTATTAATCCCTAATCAATTTCGATAAGCGGCGTGTAAAGGCGTGTCAAAGGGAGGTGAAATTAAAGCTGGCGTCGCACAATCTAATTATCTTGTGATACTTACGAGTTACGACAGAATATTAACGAGCTCATGGTTTCACATCGTTCACGTAAAACATTGCAACAGTGGGTTTTAGTTCATTGCACATGTTAACGCACTTGTACATCTACTGTAGTACCTTCACAGCATGACTGCTATTTAGCGTATTTGCCACAAAACAGTAACTTTTTTAGCAAGACTGGTTTGCTACGAGAATGTACGTACGATTCAACGTATAAGACTAAATACGAATATAAATACGAAGATGCGCAGTAGATCTTTGAGCAAGATTATATTTATTCAGATGAAAAGCAAATTGGGTCAAATGTAAACAACGCAAGTGGACGGCATAATGTATCACATACATAATTTGGCGCAGACTAGCCGAGCACTATGGAAATGGTGCTCATCAAATATGTAAAAACGCTCAGACAAACCATGAGAATACTTGAGTAACCATGCATAAACATGCTTATTCGTTGTTGGTATTCTCATTCGACGGCAATGTATGTTTTCCACGCAAAAAAAGTGAAAGTTAATAAGTACGCTCAATGCATGGAAAGTCATGAATTTACAGATCACTGACAGAAGAAGAGAAAGGCAAGGGAGGAAACCCCTACGTTTAGATATAGAAAGCTCATCAGTCACATATACTAGAAATTATTATTGATGGAAAAAAAACTTTTAAAAACGAATTCAAGAGTAAACGACATAACGAGAATAATGACATAAACTTGGATTCGATAGTTATTATTATACAAGTTTGCAGGAAGTGCAGATATTAACTGTTTTAATCCTTATGTTGCATGTGACAGTTTTTACATGCTGAATATAGTTGATTGGAATGTAGCAAGTATGACGTAAAAACATTGTCATAAATGCATCACGTGAAAACACTGATACCAAAAACAGCAAGTAATATATTGGCTACTGCATCAATATACTATACGATTAACCAGTAATTCATCAAACACATAGAACCATACTGATATACTATTGAAACGACTGACCAGGTGACGCACCGACATGTAATTTAAAGGTTGAACAATTGCAGCTTTGAAATTATTCATGTCAAGGGCAATGTACTAGTTCTTTGGTCTCCACTTTGGATTATTGGCATACAGAAGTAGGCTGCTTAGGACAGTTAACTTGTAATAATAGTATGACAGTATTCGGCCCTGGTCACAGTCCAATGGAAACCCTCAATTGTGGTATTACACCATTATCGCGTGCTAGGAGAACCAATATGATAGCACAATCATGTGTAAAAAGAAAATACCTAGTATGAAAGTATCATATCATACCACAGGCATAACCCTATTGCTGGCAGCACTAGATAGCTACTTGCATGTCCCTCATAGCACACCTTCCGACTGACAAATTCCTGGTTCCTTGGTGAGGTCTCCCCCAAATCGAAATCTGAAAAATAGGTGGAAAGAATAGCACTTGCCCATTAACAATATTCCGGATAACAATAATAATACATACATACATATAGTAAAAGAATGTATAAAGCTCATATGCTTCCTTCGTCTCATGTATCACTATTTAGTTAATAAACAGTGTAGTTCAATATAAAACGTACACCAACACAAGAGATGATCAAGTATAACAATATAAAGAAATCTTACACAGAAGGATCCATGCTGAAGCTTCCATGTGCCTTCCGAGCAGACTGGGCTGATCGGATGAGCACGGAATCTCGCTGTCGGCTAGGAAAGGCTGGCATCATATAACTGCTGCTGCCACCTAGGACGGATCCTTTCGATGTGGTGAACTTAGGTAAACTACCCTCGTATGAATGCCCTGAGAAATATCAACAACTGTCTCACTACTATGCATATTATTACTGAAATCCATATTATAGTTATTATTTAACAATAGAAGAATATAAGAAAATTATAGGCGATTTACTAATAGCAAGTAGTTCTACTTTATATAGATATTGCATGGAAACACGTTCATTTACATGACACTAAAACTACAACAAGGATTTTTACAATGTACAATGCATAAGAAATATGCAAAAATATATCTACACAAAGTATATGTATACATTGTATGTATTTTATGCAATTTACATAAACATATACATACAAACTATTAACATATCTTGTATATATATATATATATATATATATATATACATATACATATATGTATATATTCATGACTTTATATTATGCATAACATTTCAGTTAGAGATCGTGAAACTAGAAGCTATTGCAATGCATGCATACTACACAGCAATTGAATACATGACAATAGGTTTCCGGGCAAAATTGCTGCCCACCTATTATACATACTAGGAGTCTATTTTGATTCTATTAGCTTGAAAGATCCCTCCAGTTATGTCTTCATGTAGCGAAGAAACGAGTAACATCACCATTTTTATAAACCTCCACCCCTTGAAAATCTTCCATGTTATAGTCATGTACATGCCTCACCATCATAGTTAAGCGCAGGCAGTGTATTTCTTCGCACCAGATCAGCCCTGCTCTTCTGCATTTCCTTATTTGCCACCCAGTTCTTGAGAAACTGACGAGAGGTGGTAGTCACTTCTTTATCATCAAGAGATTCTATGAACACATGCATAGGTCACAGCTTGCATAACATGCTACCATCAACACAACTGCAGTAACCATATTTTCGAGCCAAATCCTGTGTTTTCGCCACTTTTACGATACTTACCGTTACTGCTTGAGCAACAGCAATTGTCTAGACTCTAGAGCAACGATAAAATGTCTTAGAACCTTTGTATTCACCAAAACATGCACATTTCGAACAAGTTTGGAAAGCTTTTTGAGACCATTTTATAATTGGGAGTCATCGTGACCAACACTGTGCCTTGCCCACTACCCTATTACCACCTACCCACAAGCCATTCCACCCTTCTATCTATGTCTCTCACCATCCTATCGCTAATGTTTCACCCATTTCATCCCTTCTCCCACAACTTACCATTTCTCTCACCTAATCTAATTACATATTATAAGCTTATAAGACATATTTTAAGCTAATTACATATTATAAGCTTCATAACTCATCCACCCCTCCCACCAGCGCTTCCATTCCTCCTTTCCCAACCCTGTCACAATCTCTTCTACAACCTCTCTCCCACACCTTCCAAAAGCCTTTCCACCTCCTCCCACTGCTCTTCCCATCAGCTCCCACTACCACTTCCACCACCTCCTCCACAACTGCTTCCAAACTCCCTTCCTCCGAACACCCCTACCACCCACCACCACGACTCCACTCACATTCACCCGCCGTTTCTCCGACCAATACTTCCACTCTCTTACCGAGTGCATCGCCGGCCACGATGATGCTCTCCCGGTACTTCTTCTGCCGGCACACGGGGTTTCCCTCGAGGTGCAGCACGCGCAGGCACGGCAGCTGCGTGACGACGTCTGTGACGGAGCGCAAGTCAGCGAGGTCGTTGTGTGCGGCGAGCAGCTGTGTGAGACAGGAGAGCACGGCAAGGTCGCTGATCGCCTGCAGCTGGTCACCAGCTAAGTTCAACACCTGCAGGCTCTCCTAGTGACAATAGTGAAGAAAGAAAGAGATGATGATGAGAGATGGTGAGAGAGTGAGAAAAAAGAGAGAAAGACAGAGAGAAAGAGAGAGTCAAGGAAATGATGAAATAGAGTCAAAGAAATGATGAATGAAAGAGTCAAGGAAATGATGGAAGAGAGAGGGGGAGAGAGGCGATGAGAGATGATGAGAGAGAGAGAAAGAGATGACGAGAAAGAGAGAGAAAGGAAAAGAAAAGAGAGAGAGAGAGAGAGAGAGATGACGAGGGAGAAAGAGATGACAAGAAAGAGAGAGAGAGAGAAAGAGAGAGAGAGAGAGAGAGAGAGAGAGAGAGACAGGGGGAGGGACAATGGGAGACAGTGAAAGAGAAACAGAAAGATGACGAGAGATGACGGTGACCAAATGGTGAGAGATGCAAGGATAATAAATTCATTGGAAGCAGATAGAAATATGCAGATGTGGGAACAGTCCCAGCTAATATATATAGGAACAATGCTAGAAAAATACTAGTGCCAAACCAATGACTACAGAGTCTGCCAGCTCTGTTTTCCAACTACCCTAGCTACAGCTTAGACATTTAAACTAATGTGCTCGAATACTTACTGCAATAGCCCGTAGACTTCTAGGGTCAAGTAACAAGGTTTCACCAGGTGCTAGTCTCTGGGATTCAACATGCAACTCTGTTAGGTTTGTTAAATTCTCCAAACCCTCCACGACCGTAATCTGATTGTATCCAAGATAGCTGCAGCAGATGTATATAAGTTAAGAGTACATGAGTAATAATAGTACATAAGAGTAGATAGAGTAATAAGAGTACATAAGTAAGTGTACATGAGTATATCTAGGGGTAGGGAAACTATTATAAAGGTGATGGAGGGGCAAAATATGAAATAGAACACCGCATCATCTTCATTTACCCAAATGCACTGTTTTCACAAACACAACCGATGCACAGACATACACGTTGAATTTGGAAAGGAATAAGTTATTTGTGTGATACATTTGATTTAATTCTCCCCTGAATAATGTATACTTCACGTTACAACTGTACTGGCATTTGTCTTTTGAGGAAGGACAATGCAACAGCATGCAGTCTTGTGGGCGTCACATTGAAAATTTGTTAAATTTAACTGCTGAAGATTTTTATAGCAACATAAAAATTTAATAGTTACATTAAAAATAATTTCTAACCAGTCTGAGAATATATTAAAAACTTTGGTATGTCACATGATATTTAATTTGTGTTATTGAATTTGGGTACCCAATTTATGAGTCGGTATAATATACGATGTTCGATGACGATGTCAAGGTGAGCTAAAAATGAGGACTGTCCCTGTGTACATTGATCTTCTTAATCTTCGCAAAACGTTCACCCGACTTTAGAAACAAATCTGATTCTTGGTACACACAAAGATATACACTGATGGTCACAAAGTCATCTGACTTGAAGAACCAACCATAATTAAGTAAGCATATTTGGCCCATCTTAGCTGATTTGGCAGCAGCAATAATGTTGAATAATTCTACAGAAGACAATGATGTGAGATGTTAGGTAGAATTTCACGGTTGTTCACTCTTGCATTAAAAGTTCCACAGTCATTTAGTACTACGTACAGCTTTTTGAGATGCCTCAGAGTTGACAGGTTATCAATCTTGCTCAACTTGTTATCGTGCAGATAGAGATGCGTGAGCTTGCTATCAAAGTGTTGCAGGTTTTCTAAGCAGTTAATGCTATTGTCATATAGATAGATAACCGACACATTCCTGCATTCAGGAATCGGATCCTGAAAAAAATTGTTTAATGGTTAGGGCTAGAGTTATAGTATACTGACCCCTATATTGAATAGAATATGACATTGTTTCAATGGTCAAATTTAACATGAGTGCTGGGTCATATACTATCTAATTTACTATTTAACTCCATTCTAGGAGATCAAGAGGCTCAACTACTCGAACTTTAAACCCTTTGTTGTTTTTGATATCAATGTTGGTAACTTAGATCAGGAGTGAATAATACCCTCAAATGTCTATAAACCCTCAAATGTCATTAAAAAACAAACACCGATGATATTGACTAAAGACATAAAAGCCAATTGAAATGCTTATAATACAAGCAAAGTATGAGGTAACAATCTTTAACAACTGAATATTAAATTATTTATTAAAAATAGGATCTGGTTTCAATGTTTGCATGATATGGTATATTTCTCCAATTATTTTGGCGAATCACTATTATTTGGGCAATTTGTTAACTTGTTAATATACTTACAATCACATCGATATTTTTGCCATGAGCATATATATGCGTTAGCTTACTCAAAAGCTTCTCCTTCTCTTCATCACTGCTCCATTTCTGATGTCTCAACAACAGACCTTTGCTTATGACATCTGTAGTCAGATGTACCATGATTTCTCAAAATAATGTTAACCTAAAGTTGAAAGAGAAAAAGCATAAATATATAACGTACACTAGGGCTGTAACAAATACACTAGGTCACGAATACGATACGTATCACGATATATGCATGCAAATACGAATATTTGACGAATACGACTACTCACTTGTTGAAGCTGTAAAAACTACCAAGGAATAAAAGATATATAGGTTTATATATATGAATGAACAAAAATGCTTTATGTTAACGATAGAATGGCGCGCAATCATGCCCTGGCTCCTAAGGTGTTTTAGCAGACGTATTTTAGCAGACTCACATTAAAATGCGTATGTGTGTCTGCGTGTAAGCGCGTTCGTGTGTGTGTGACTGTGTGTGTGTGTGTGTGTGTGTGGGTGCGTGCGTATGTGTGCTCGCGCGCGCGCGCGCGCGCGCGTGTGTTGTCCACTATGCCTCCGGAAAACTTTCTTCCGTTAACGAACAACTTTTAGTGGACGTTAGTGAAACGCGCTACGCACTCGCGATCGATCGAGCCCCGTACTTCTATCAAAGGCGCCGCTGCCGCACACATGGCTGGAAAAACAAGCATGGCTGTGTCCGATTTTCGTGACATCACTGTACACGTGTATATCACATGTCAACAAGAAAACCGCGGTATTGAGCTGGTTACGGAATGATAATTCTAAAATACTACACCGCGATAATATCGCAATACCGGTATACCGCTGCAACCCTGTTACCTTAGTATCCGTCCCTTCTCGCACGCTCGATATGGGATGAGTTACACGGGATAGTAAAATACACGTCACGGCTTTCTCGACGTGTGAGAAGGGACGGATACCAGTCTAGGTGCGTTTACGGGGAAAGCTGCAAACAACATTCAGAATTCGAGCAAATCGGCGTAGAATTGCAGGTTAAAAATTTTTTTTTCAAGTAGGTTCTATATTTATATTATTTATATTTGTCAGTATTCGAATAATGATGACGCGAATAACAAATAGGGGGCCTACGTATCGCCCAACAACAATATTCGGTGCACCGAATACGCGAGTGTATCGTTACAGCCCTAACGTACAATGATAATCATATTACATTACTTCATCACGAATTAGTGGCAGCTCATGAAAGCTGAGTGTAAGCCACTCTCTTTTGCCTGTTACTAGTAATAATTCCCCATAAATCCTGTTTATATAAAAATGGAAATGGAAAATGGGGCAAACAGCATTTTTATCTTTCTGCGAGTTTATGAACAGTGGGGTGCGTGCATTAAAACCGTGTTGCAGAAAAGCATTTGAAAGGTACTTATGTGGAATTGTTACTAGTAACAGATAAAAGGTAGATAAACATTCATTGGCCAAACAATCGAGTAGCACAGTTAGGGAGTTTCAGATAATAAACAGGCACTTGCTCACATTTACATTTTGGCGAAGCGAGTTTGCCGCAGAAATTCACCAGACATCTGGGTAGAGTATGCAGTACAAGTTGGCAAAATTATAATTTGAACAAGTGTAAGTTAACATTTAGCTACGCATAGCTATCTGCCTATCAGAATGGAGGCTGTTGGTTGTGTGTTTTTGTTGGGATTGTGTGAAACGAAGCCAGCTTGTGCGAATTTTACGGCAATGCTTCTACAATTTTGCTTTCTAGACGAACAGCTTGGTAACAGTGACCATTCAATTGTCAAATAGGACCTGATATCTTCTATTGAAATCGAGGTACAAGATAAACTAATTTTTGACTATAACAAAGCAGACTATGCAGGAATGAGATCATGCTTTTCAAACATGGACTGGGACAAGTGCTTTGAAGGAAACTCTACAAACGAAAATTGGACAACATTCAAGAACATCTTCCATGATGCTGTAGACAAATTTGTACCAAAGAAAAGAAGTATAGCAAACAACAAACCAAAATGGATAACTAAACAAGCGTTTAATCACTTTAATGCAAGGACTAAAAAACACAAGTTTTGGAAAAAATACCAGCAGTCCAAAAACCATCAAGATTACACTGCATACAGATCAGCACTTAACGCAGCTACCAAAGAGATAAGACATGCCAAAAAAAGCTTTGAAAAGAAACTTGCTGAGAATATCAAATATGACACTAAATCATTCTATGCCTACACTAGATCTAAGCTGAAGACAAAAGACAGAGTTGGTCCTCTCATAAATTTTGATGGCAACACTATAACAGACAACACAGAAGCAGCTAAACTACTGAAGTTTTTTCACTTCAGTATTCACAGACGAAGACACCATCAATTTACCCAAACCAGTTCAACTCAAACCCAACCCTAACTCAGCAAAATACTTCCATCTGAAGATGCAATACACAAAAGTTTCTCCAATGTTAAACCAAATAAAGCTCCTGGCATAGACAACATAGTGCCAAATGTCATTAGAGAAGTAGCAAAAGAAGCTGCAACTCCAATCTCAAAAAGCTTTGAAAGCTCCATGAATGATGGTGTGGTACCTGATGACTGGAGAAATGCTAATGTGACTCCAATCTTTAAGAAAGGAAAGCGCAGCTTAGCCAGCAATTATAGACCAGTTAGTCTAACCTCTATAATATGTAAAGTGTTAGAAAGTCACATCAGGGCAGCCATAGTAGACCATCGGCCATAGCTGCCAGTAAAGCGAACAAAATACTGGGAATCATCAATAGAACTATAACATATAAAGACAAAAAAAATCATCCTTCAGCTTTACAAATCACTTGTTAGAACTCCCCTTAAATATGCTGTCCAATCATGGAATCCCTATTTGCAAAAAGATATAGTGTTACTGGAAAAGGTGCAAAGAAGGATGTCACGTATGATTCCAGAAATTCGTCATTTTTCCTATGAACAAAGACTAGAGAAACTAGAACTTATATTTATAACACTAGAACAGAGAAGACTAAGAGTAAGAGGAGACCACATTAAAACTTTCAAACTAATGAATGGCTACAAATTAATTGACCCTACGAAATTCTTTACAAGATCGGAATACAACAGTGCCATTCGGCTAAAAAAGGCTAACTACCTGGCTGTACCCAAGCTAGGTCACACCCCATGGCTAGCTATAGCCCTGGACGTTTATCCCTTACAGACTGTCCAGTATAGAAGTAGAAGTAGAAGTAGAAGTATAAGTAGAAGTAGAAGTAGAAGTAGAAGTAGAAGTAAGTACTCGTGGCCATAGCCTCAAATTGTTCACTCCGCGTGCACGACTAGAGTTAAGAAAACATTTTTTTTCAGTTTTAGAGTAATAAATCACTGGAATAACCTGTCAGAAGAAGCAGTACAAGCTAAATCAATTAACTCGTTCAAAAACCATGTGGGTGAATATGTAAGGATTGGGGTTTATACAAGACTGTCAGTCCGTAGTCTTCCTACCCTTCGATCCACTCCAAACCTACAGGTGAGGGGTGGAATCAGGTAAATCAGGTAAATTTTGTTGTTTATGCACAGAGGCGTACTATAGTGACACCTATATTATATGTGTTGCAGAGGAGCATTTGAACAGCATTTACAGAAAGTTATTACTAATAATAGGCTAAAGAGAGTAGTGAAACATTATGACTTTGTTAGTAAATACATTTCGTGTTTATTTGGCATTATTTTGTGAGATGACTCAGTCAGTGTAACACTGTCAATGTTCAAAAATCAATAAAACATCGCGCATTTCCTGGCATATGAAAATGACAAACATGTTGCTGAAAACAGAATAAAACATACATGAATATATCGTCCGTTCCCAGCTATTAAGTAAACATGAGAACAGAATATTTTCTCTTTATTCTCAGTACAGTGTTCCGTGGATCAATGACAATGTATTTCTCAGATGTAAACAAATGTTATTTCATAGGCCGCTCACTTGTTTTGGCAGTGCCATCTCTTGACTATAACAGAAATGAAATGACACTATTTCTCACTCCCGATGCCTGTCATGCCTGGTACATAGACCAAAATAGATATCTTATTACCAGCTAACCAAAGAGTTGTTATTTAATTAGTGATCTGCCCTGCATCAGCGCACGTTAGCGATCGTGCACGAGGAATGTCCTTATTCTATGGTAATAAGAACGAACAGCTTTCTATATGCGGACGGGTTTTTAACGGGGTTTATCCACTGATCTCTACTATACTATAGTAGAGTAGAGATCAGTGGGTTTATCTGCTTGATATTCTCGCCGGATAGCAGCAATTCTATTCATGATAATTCAGCTATCATTGTCTTTCCTAAAAAGATAGGAAATTTCCCAGAAAAATCAGCCTAGTTTATCCCAATGTTATCGCTATTGATAGAACCCTTTAAGTCAGAGAGTACCGGTACTGCATAGAAAATTACCCAGGCATATATATAAAATGCACCTATAATCGAGGCGTTTAACTTTGTAAAAGTTGAAAAAACTAGGCCTACTTATGATAACATTAACAATTAAGCAGCAATTGTAGGCCCTATATGTCTCTTAGAATTCGCTTTCGATAATCCAACGCGCAACAAATAGAGAATATAACCTTGCAAGTTAATTATCTCTAATTCATTATCTATAAAAAAATACTATACGGTGATATACTCACACGCACATGCATGCACGTGCACGCATACACAAACGCGCACATGCACACATACGCGCACATGCACACGTGACATATATCTTCTCACCTATACCTTCTCCCCTCGATCACCATTCTCGACCTCCTCCCTTCTCCTCTTACCATATATGTCTCTCCACCCCACCCTGTCCGCTCCTACCGTATTTCCCCACCTCCATATCATACCTCCTCCTTAGGCCTACCTATATATAGATATATATAGGCCTACCTCCTACTTTCACGTCCACCTTTCTTAATTCCTTTCTACGCCATTTAAAAGCTCTCTACTCCCCAATCTTCTCCTCGTCCTCGCCTCTTCCTCTAGCTCCTCATTCCTCCTTACTTTATACCACCCGTTCTCTACATTCCTTCATTCTTATTCTATATCCCTCCTTCTTTATTTTCCGTCTATCCTCTTCTATCAACGTAGGTACTTTGATTCTCTCGTTCCTCCTTTTCGTACCCGTCTTTCTCACTTGCATTCCTACAGCTCAAATTAACATATTTTTCCATTCCTTCTGTACCACCTTCTCCCTCCTCCCATTGCTCCTCCTCAGCCACCATCTCCCGCAACTCAACCTCCTCCCTCCCCACCCTTCTCCGCCATTTCTACAGTCTTCATCTACATTTCAAATAAATGAAATCGTAATTCCAAGCTTACCCGCGTTCTGGTTAACTTCTATTCCTGAACCAAGAGTGAAAGGTTCACTGGTATTTTCCACTAAGTCAACCAGATTTTACAATGCGCCCGTGCTGGCAGCCCGCACGCAACTAGTTTGAAAATATGAGAACGGGCGAAGAAAATTTTGCTTGACAGTCAACGGTGACCGACGCACGAACGCCATATTCATGTACATTAATATCGGCATAGCCGGGAACCCAGGGCGTGATGCTGCGAGAAAAAGTGAATATTTTCGATCGGATTTTACCTAACACACGTGCTGTCAGCCTGCCCTGCTCCAGTTTAAAAAACGGCCGAAGAAAATTATCTTGTCAGTCAACGGCGACCGACGTCGGAGCGCCTTTTTCATGAACATTAGCATAGCTGGGAATCGCGGCGCGATGCTGCGAGAAAAGTGAAGCATGTAGATCAGATTTTACAATGCACCCGTGCCGTCAGCCCGCCCGCGACTATAGTTTGAACGTTAGTATAGTAGATTAGGAAAAAATCGTTCAAATTGTGAAAAAAGTATGAAAATTGGTACACTTGCATACTTTTGTATGCTCTTTCATTTAAAAGCAAGACACACGCGATCCAACTACAACTTCGGCCGCCATCTTGAATTACAAACTTACAAACTTAGCAATATTTCCGTTCACGGAAGATATAGACGTGAAAATTTGCCGACTGGCGCAGGTTAATACCCATCCGGCCAAGTCGACACGTGCCGTATCCAACACGCGTTGGAAACGATGGAAAAACACGCATTTTATCGTAGAGTTCTAAACACGCATTTTCAACGTGACGTTCTTCAAGTAAACGCGGCGTGTACACAAGCAGTTCAAAACTCACGCGCGCGAGCACGCACGCACGCACATAACAGATAGCTATACGCCCGCGAG